CGTAATGGATCTGCCCTGTGGATGCCTCTTATTAACCCTTGATATTTTTTATTAAAAATTAACCACCACCCCAAGCTACATCAACGTGCAGCCACATCTTACAAGCCTGGCATGAATCTGCGATTTCGATAAAATGATCAAATACGTCAGGAATAATTTTCCCTGCAAAGTACTTAATTGCAAAAAACAAATCACATAATAGGTAACTATTTATTAATTTTTTAATACTGCTTACCTTGTTTTGCGCATAGCATTATTCCTTTATTTCCGTTTTATATTCTTTTTCAATATTCTCCGTTAAATTCTTAACGTCCATTCTGCCCAACTTATCCGTTTTCACGAATACCACATTCCCCTCGCCGACACTACAAAAGCTTGCTCTTCAGATGCAAAAAATATCAAATTAGAATCGGGCGTGCCTCTTATCTGAAAAGTTAATGTAAACCTGTCATTTCAACGCATAAATAGAAAAGACAATGAATACGTCTTAGAAAAGTATTCAAGATGGCAAGGATACAAAATTTGCTAATGATTTTTGTGCAAACAATGCTCTACTTTATACTGATAATTACCTTTACCTCTGGTTTGAACAAAAATCTAGCAACCTTAATAGCTGTTTCATTCGAAAAAGTTCCTGCTATCAATGTTGGAACCAGTACCACCTCATACGTATATACTGATACATTTAACGTGTCTGTCAGCCATTGACCAACCAATCCATACTGATCCGATCTGCCTTGAACGATCATTAATGACAAAAAAGTAGAAGTTTCAAAATGATTTATTAACGCTATATTATATGTATACATTTTTTACACAGTATCCATAACAGCAGGAATGCCAAGGCAAAAAAGTGAATATTTATATCTCTCAATAACTGTTATAATATTCTAGCCATAATGCAAGGTGTTTAAACGATGTAACAAACACGTGATACGGATTTAAAAAAAGTGAATCTAGTATAATTATTTGACAATAAATGCAAGGATCATTCATAATAAGAGCATTAAATGACTGTGAATCTGAGTTATCGGGCAGTCTTTGCGCGTCATGATGAACATGATCGCTCTTAAAAATAGTTATAGCCGTAACACGTATTCACGACTATTTACATAACGATGGCAGGTTTGAATATTTGGATAAATGACAAACTGCACATTATGCAAAAAACAAGTAATAAATGACATGCAAATTGGTCGCGAACACTGAAAACATTTTTTCGCAGTTTCAAGATCTTTCGTTACGTGATTGGTTATTGGGAAAAAAAATTGTACAACAAAATCGACCTCTTACCTAGAAAATAGTTGATTCAGGAAATGCGGATGACCAGTTTTCACGCTGTATTTCAAAATATTGTTCGCCATTCGTAAAACTGATTTATCCGTATCCGGTTTTCTCTTCAAATCGAGTTTTAAGATATCGACAAGATGGCTCGGTTCCCGCCATATTGAAACAGCTCTACGATTTTTTCATTCGAAGCTAAATTCTATCAAAGCTGCACAAAATTTGTTTAAAAAATCATTATGTTTTTCTTCGACACGTGCACTAGACCAATTCAAAATTCAGCAAAATTTGATTGGGTCCTAAAACAATCGGTGATTATAGTTGCTCGAGGGCCAGATGACGAATTTCCTCAATTATTTTTGTTAAGGTTACAAAACATTAATATTTTGTAACTCGGACCTCGCCATCTAGTGAGTATTTAAGTCATGCCTGGCGTTTTATAGAGCAAATTACAAAGGTCTTGTTAATATTCGTAATTGTCGTCAATACACAAATAAAGATCCAATGTCAAAGGTACTGAAAAATTAGTTATATAGCACGCGATATATGTTTGGCACATGTAGCATAATAAAAAAAATTAAACGCAACCATTCGACACACCTTGTGTTGTTTAAAAAATCTGCGATAAATCATGATATTCGCAAAAAAAAATACAAATTAATGAATAGAAAAAATGTATTTACATGAGATTAACATATCCATATAGAAACTAATGTTCATATGGTTACCGATGTTCCATATTCATGTAACAATAATAATTACAACTTCATCGCTACTTGACAGAATTAATATTATAAACTAAGTCATATCTTGCAAGTCTTTTATACCAATCAGAACAAGTTTAATATGAGCATTGGTCCTGGCAATCTGCTTTCGTAAATTATCAATTTGTCTTTGAAAAAGCTTTAACCTAACGTCAATGACAGTCAAAGCTTCATCCAAACTAAACTCTACAAAGTGACCAAGACCAACATCCAATAAAATATTTGAAGCATCCTCTATATTTGCCTGGATATAAAAGTTGTTGCCCATATCCACCTTTGTCTTGAAACCACTTTTATCAACATTGGTATCCTTAAGAGTCTTTATTATACTCTTCAATTCAAGGAATTCAGCCATTTCTGCATTCTTGCTATCTAGTTTTTCAGCGAGCTTGGCAAGATCAGCCCTCAGAACATCATTCATGAAGGACTCAAACTGCAGTATCTTCTTCTGCACATCAGGATTCATTTTTGTACGTTTTGAGAAAATCGAATCCTGCACTGTGTAAAACATAAAAAGTATACGCAAGGTGCAAACACTTGAAGATACAAATATCTAGTTGATTGGGGGCTTTTATAAATTCCTGTTGTACTTGCAAAAGAAACCCTCCCCGAGATAAACAAGATTTCTATTAAGAGGTTAGGTTGCTCACGAGGCAGATATTCGCAAAATATGCCACGGCATTTTCTTCCCAAGATACAGCCGCATAGGGAAAAACTTACCAAATGCAATACTATTTCGAAACGGCTTTTAAGAAATCAAAAACAACGCTGCAAAAAAATCTTTAAAAACACATCGTATACTTGACACTTTAGTAGCACCGCGTTTACTTGCTGAATTCCCCTAACGGCACCAGACAAAACTGTCAGTTCGGTCGGTATTGAAGAACGCGAAAAGATTATCGACAGAACGGACTAAAGAAATTAATTCCTACATTCAAACCATTTTATATGGAAATCAAAAACACGAACGATCTTATTCAATATATAATACAAAGTTCAATATGTGACGATTGCAAAATGTATTTTGAAAAAACAATATTACATTTATATACTACAAGAAATTGAATTGGAATATTTATTAACAGCGTCGATGACGATAGCAGTACAAGAAAAATGAATTACACAACGAACAATAAAATAATGGAACGATGCGTATTTTGTGTGCAGAGTGGTACATTAGCTAAGACCTAGGTAATTTAAGTGATGATTACCAGAATATCATAACACGTATAACTAGATGCAAACTCAGGCTATGACTACAACTACCAATACAGGATATACAATTTTCATGATTAGATGATGAAATTCATGATTAGCTACAACTTAAATTATCGTCATGTAAAACTTATCGTACTCAATGCATCCGTAATGTAGTTAGATATTCTTTCGAGGACGCAAATTTCAGAAACCAATAAAACTAGTTCTCTTCGTCAAGCTGCAGCAAAACGCGCATCAACGAAGTCAGTCGCCATAATTATAAAATTCACAAAATACTCACCAGAGTTCTCCGTCAACAGTGCCCCATCATATATAAAATTCATCGGAATAACTCCCGCGGGATAACACAAAAGAATGCTAAACGCACATAAAAAAGAAATGTAAATATATGAAAAAAAAGGGAAAAACGAAGTGTGAAAAGAAAATTAAGAAAAAATTATCCGTACAGAAAATAGTAAGGGCTGATACGGTGCAAAAGAATAACAGGCAGTAAAAGTCTCGGTAAAGCCAGTCAACATCACGAAGAGACGAATAAACGCATGGGCTGTCATACTGGTGTATTTCTGCGCTATCTACGCAATATAGTCCTTAGTTTATGTTAAGACGAAGCAGTTAAACGTTACGAAGACTTTTATAGGTCTGCACGAATCCATGCACACATCACCGTTACGTTGCCCACTTGCGTCTCTACTAAAATGCAAGAGGCTTTTTATCCTGCGTGATACACATATGGTACATACGTGAGCGAAACCCTTTCGTGCGTGTATATCTGTATATATATATGCATTAATGCATGACGTAGAATAAAAATTGCAACGAATAGAAAAATAAATTCAAATTGAGCAATTCCATAGATTCCTTAAATTCCAAGTTTACATAGTTACTCCATAGGTTTATTTATCCAATTCTGTATATGCATATTACAGACCGACCTTGTATTTCTATGAAATTCCTTGGAGTTGCATGATATAGAGTCGTTTATCATTTACTTAGATAAGAATTGTATTCTTTTTCATCTCAATGAAGAGGGGGTGAGGGGTATCTTCTGCCATGTTTTTAACCTTTCATTACGAGTGGATCTGGTCAGGGACTATAAAAATTTGTTTCAAATTTTTGCATAATATCCTGTCTACTTTATATACTTGTACAGAGTGTAACTACTTGTTCTATGTATACCTGTGGAATATATTGCAATCTAATTATATGGCAACAAACACGCAATTGTATCACATGTGGTACGTTGGTAGCGGGGAGTTCATAGCCAAGTTCCGGTATAACTTATAGGTACACAAAGCGTCAATATACTGTAAAAATGGATATTGAAATACATAAATATATATTGAATTGTCGCTAAGTGCAACAGGAGCCGTGATGGCGGTAAGGAATTATAAATATGTAAAAAAACAAAGGTTGGTATGTATATGAGACAAGAAGAAAATGAAGTAAGAGTGGAAAAGAGCCAACAACGAGACTGACTATCCATGGAATCTGCATAAACCATAAAACGGCTGACTGTTCTCCACTTGACGCCATCTTCTCCACTTTGGGATTTGAGTCCCCAACGCAACCGGTATATCTGCTCTTTCTCTAAACACATACCAACACATGGATAACCCAACCACTTAGTTTACTAGTAACTACTGCATACGCATACTATAACCTTACTACTACCCTAACCTAACCTACCTACCTGCCTGCCTGCCTTCCTGCCATTCTGACAAACATTCTCCATTATTAGTATGTTGGCATTGCGACGTCGCTAAAAGCAAGAACGTATTTTTAAATAAGATTTACAGTAAATATCACAGCCTCCTGGACAGTCGAAGGAACATCGAAAGATAAGCCTCGAACGTCAACATCATGTAGCTTAACGAGGACCAGTCGACTTTTTTTTCTTGTAATTTTGTACAACGAGAAAGAACGCAGGGAGAGGTCGAGTGTGAAAGAAGGAAGTCACTAGGTATCATAAAGGGAATTAAATTATAAGAAAATAAGTGGTGACGTATAAAAATGAGAGCAAGGAGCCATTAACGGTCCATCGTACCAAAAAATTCAGAACAGACGGCGGTACCTGTGACATCGGTGACATAAATATTCGACGCAGTGGAATTAAAAGCGGTACAGGTGTAGCCAACGTGTATGGGCATATAACGAAAATGGGTGCCAATAAGAAAAACTCCCAATCGAGATGAGATTGTCGCACCTTCCGTTTGTAGCAATTGGATTGAAGTCGGCTGAAAGTTCCATTTGGTTTGGACAGATCAAAACGCGACTGTATTTCTCGTATAGATACCGCTTATATTATATTTATTTATTATAATTTAACAGTTATAGTTACGTCGAGTACACTGAATCCATGAATAACGATTCTCGTGCATACTCCACAATGGAATAATAGGTATATCGTTTCCTCATATTTGTCCTGTCTTCGTTCTTGACTGCCAGGCCTTTGCCATTGCCATTACGTTTTGTTCTCCCTCTCTCTCTCTCTCTCTCTCTCTCTCTCTCTCTCTCTCTCTTTACACTTCATTCTCCTCTCGCACCCCAGAATTGCCCAATAAATAATCTACGACAGTTTTACGAATATAGGTAGATCGGTAAGTAGGTACGCATGTATTTATGTATGCGCGTACATTTCCACACGTCACATTCGATTTTATGACTTCGCAGGATATATATGACGTATGACGTAAGATAACAGAAAATGGTGGTCAGATTCAATTTTTTTTGTTTCTTTGAATCCCATCGCAATAGACGGTCACTACTTGAAAAGTGTTGAAAGGCGAGTTTTTAATGATTCCTGTAGATATTTTTTTCTTTTTCTCTTTTTTTTTAGCAAAACAATTACCTGCCACGCAGAAATATATGATTCGACTTTTATCTTTGTACGTAGATATACATATATAGACCAGTGACGCCAGGGGGTTTTATCTTATGCTTTAATTTTGATTTTGAACATCTCGACGCTTATGTCGCACCTCATCGAGCAACGTCTTTAGGAACGTGCGACATGTACGCGACAATCGCGATTAGAGATTCGGCGAAATATCTTGAAATTTTCGCCAGGAAAAACGGTGTATCCCCCTTCTTCTTCGGATCTCTGAATATATTTTGATTTTTTCTTTGCTAATCTCTCGTATGAAAATTCATAACACCAATTTCTTTTGGCAACCCTTTCTCGTTTCCCATCCCTCACACACACACACACACTCTCGCGCTCTCTCTCTCTCACACACGAAAAGACCCACTATACATTATATTTATATATTTATAGTACGCGTGCGTGTGTACGTTTTATTTCTTTATTCCTTGATCCTTCGATAAATCCTCAAGTCTTCCCTGCACATTTCACACCGTATACACAATACACGATAGATTACGATATAGTAAAAGCGTTACCCTTAAAAAAATATGGCAGCAGTACGTAAATTTTAAGACGCTAATGGGCGCTCGAAGATGAAAAGGATTCTGTTTTCTTTTTCTGTTTCATCAACAAATCATCCACGCCTCGCATACTCAGAGTCTATACGTTTGATACAGACAGTTTCATATTCCGTGAACTTTTTAAGAATACATGGTCAATCATACATACTGTGGTACGCATACATATACATTTATTATATTATATACACACAGGCGGGGTGACAGATACGCCTATTATATAAAAGAAAAGAAGAAGAAAATAAAAAAAAAATAGAAAATACCGAGGAGTGGCTCTCTCGTTAATCAAATGGAGCAAACTTGTACGACTCGAAACGTCCCGACGCTACGGTCTCATGAAGCACAAGACTTCGACGCCGGCCACTAACCGTGATAATGACTTTCTCCCTAATATCACAATAAATAAAATGAAGTACCGTAGTATACGCAATGCACAGGCGCTTTTACCTTTTCACTCCTATTAATAATTGCGTTCCCGCTCGCTCAATAATACCGGAAGCGCGTTACATATTTTTTACACTGCATTCCGCTATCTCTTTTTCCGGGGCATCGCAGAAGTCATCGATCGGAAGTTCAATGGAAATTCGATCGTCATCCTCCTTGTCGCATGTTCGGCCAGCGGACACGCGAAGAACAGACCAATTTTTTAACGCAAATTATACGGCGCACAAGTAAGCGTCAAGGTAACGAAGTTAGGATCGTCAACGTCGTCATTTTGATAGATGTGATTAATAGCATTAAAAAAAAAATTAGAAAAAAATCGTAACTGCGTCATGAGATCGGGATCTCGTCCGGGAAAAAAAAAAAAAAAAAAACGGAGACGTCCTTTCCGGTTGTCCAGATCCTCCAGTTTCGATGGCGATGGTAACCGTTCGCCAATCTTGCATTTGACTTCCGGTCCAGAAATCGTGGTTGGACAACGTTCGTTCCCTTCGCTTCTCCTTTTCTTCGTCTTTGGAATGAACCTTCCTTTGCGCTTCGTGTAATTCAGCAAGCTATCACCGAACGATCTGAAACAAGCACACACGGATCTTCGTTTACGTTCCATGAAAAAGTGTCGAGATACACTTTTTGAAATTCCCGCCAAACAGCCTTCACTTGTTCCGCGCTTTGTCCCGTGAAGAGAAGGTAAAAGTTTAAATAGATGGAATTGGAAGTGAGTGCCGTGACTAAAGTGAAGTTAGTGCCGGAGTCAGCCGTGCAGATATGAAATCGCATAACGGGACATTTTTCATGCGAAAAGTTTCGCATTAAGAAAAGCGCCACCCCGCGGAATATGGATAAGGGTAACCATGAGAAGGAAGCCTGCCCGTAGGGAAGTAACGCGAAGGAGGACGGACGAGGCCAGGAGCGTATATTATGTTCGCTAAAGCAATGTTACCAACTCGAGAACTGGCGAACTAGCCGACAGTAAAATCCATTTTATGTCTCCCTCGTAAAGTCAGTCAAATGAAACCCGGACTTAGTTTTCATACGTGCACCCACCCGGCCTCCTGGTGCACTCCGCAGTCCTACCCACACTTCGCCACGGGAATAGCTTAGAAATAAAGAAAGCAGAATTATAAGGAAAAAAGGACAACGAATTCACGATGTCTCCATCGTGCCGGATCTATACAAGATTTTTAAAGGAAACGGTCAATAACGTTGCAGCATTGTGACAACTCCTTAATTAAGACACAAAACCTCGTGGATCTCACTGACAATACTGATTGTCGCTCCTGGAAATGTGGTATGAGAAAATGGATCAAAAAAAAAAAATATATGAAAAAAATCATAGAAACGTAAAAAAACATACTCACATATAAAAAGGTACTGAAATATTCTCAAAGTAAAAAAAAAATCATTGTACCATCTCTTACGTTTAAGTCAGTCATTCGGTCGTTGAAATACTAATCTTTTAATGTTCGAACGAGAATATAAAGAGCGTTCCTCGCCATAGGAACCCATAACGCTTATGCCAGACGACCCCATCAAATGTTACACATATTTAACCAACGTTCAAATATTATTTCCCTCGTAAACGCGGCAGGAACGATCGACAGTTACTTTGACGTTACGAAATATAGATAGATTCTTTCCCGTTGAGTTATTTTCTCCCCCCTTCCCCCCTCCCTCCCTCCCTCCATCCATCCCACCGGATTCCTCGTTCTCCGTTCCTCCGATTCTACGGCTCTTATCCCATTCTATTCCGTTTCACTCCATTCCCATTCATCCCGTTTCGTAACCGATTTCATTTTGGGACTCCTGCTCCCTTTACGATCCCGTTTTCATGAGGCTTTAACTCTCCCTTCAGTCTCGTTTACGAGTCAAGATCGACCAGTAGAGCTTTTGTTAACTACGCACAATTTGTCACGCTGTAACTGCTCTCCTCGGCTCTTTAGAGCGCGACACGCCGACGGGATTAAGGACACTCGAATTCCTTTGTCCTGATGTAAACGGAAGTAGGATCTATTTTTATCAAAATTTCACAAGACTCCTTTTCCCCGCATGCAGTGACAGACAGCGAGGACTTCGATAAGTTACGTCAGCGCGCACTAGATGAGATAAGGAGAATCGTATCTCGTGTCTATATGCACGAGGCGATACGTCGTCGACTTGCATAATATTAGAATTTGTAGTCGGGAATGATGCCAACTAGTAAATAAAAATCACTAAAGCGTAAAAGCTTTGGTTAAAGTTGGATGAAAAATTCGGAGATACCTCGGGAATCATTGAACTGGATAAAAGAGATTCGCGTACCTGCTCAAATCTTATATAAGATTTAGTGATATTCGCAAGCTCGAGTTACGTGATCGTGAATATGGATAGTAGAAAAGTATAAGTTTCTAATAACATTATAATTATGTTTTTAATTAGCACGAAAGAATGGAAAATCATTAAACTAGACTTGATATATGTGAAAATAATTATCGAGTCGTTAAATGCAGTTTGACGATGTCTAGCAGGCACTGGTCTATCTGCCTCAGGCCTGTATCGGTTCATAGTTCATGTACCGTTCTTTCCGAGCGATCTTTCTACACACAGATCGGCCCTAGGGTGCCCCATAAAAGATATGATTTACAATCAGTACCCACTTGCAATCTCGTGTCTCGACCCAAGTAGACTTGAGGAAGTCTCGCGAGATCAGGAATTAACTACCAATGAGAATTGATTTTTTTTCCCCCCTATACATACCACCCTCCTCCATATATCCGAAGATGAGTCTCATTCGAGCAAGTGGATGATAAAGTGAAACCAATCCGATAGAAGCATTTAAAATCTTATCGACCCAAGGTGAAGGATAAGTCCTTTGAAATGGAGAAAGAGACAAATGGTGTATAAGTGTACGAACCGAGCGCTAGGCAGATTCCATAAGGACTATTTCGTCTTAGAGTCATAAACTTACCGAGAGTGGAGGAGACCGGGATAAACGAAGGAACGCGAGAAACGAGTGAACCAAGGAAGAAGACATGTCCCAGTGCACGTATAGCTGAAATGGAAACGGTTGCGAATGAGGTAGGTGGAGGTTTTATCGTCCACTGCGGTAAGTGCTTGACGGATTGTCACACTCTCTCGCTCTCCTATTCACGACACTCCTATCCTCTCGCTTTAGCCTTTCCATCCCTCCTCGCTTCTCGAAAGAACCATAAAATCAGCAGATATACTTCCAGTAATACCCAGTACTATAAGATACCAAGCCAAGTCAGTCGATTCGGAGCACCTCCTATTGGCTTTCACAAGAATCTATGTCAGCCTCGAGACCGATTTGACTAACCAGTTCATAATTCTAACTTAATCCCAGCCATTAGTATGGTCCTCAATTCCATTATGGAAATTCGATCAGGTCCTTACGAAAGTAATTATAAATTATTAAGAGAATTTCAAAACTTTTGCGATACTTCAGTCGTGTATAGTCAATCCACACGTGTGTCCTTTCTTAGAATCTAAAGCACGTCCATCCCGACGGACCAAGCAGCCAATAAGTTATCGTTTTGCAGAATATAGGCTGGGCTCTGAATAGAGGGATAGGCGATGTTAAAATAAGTAAAAAGAAAGACAGAGAAGAAGAGAGAGAGAGAGGGAGCTCAGGCTGATCTCTTTCATTAACGAAACGGGTATCCTGGGCTGGAGCCTATAGTCGCTTCGTTCACGAGGTACGTCGTATTTCATAGAAGCTCGGCTATATTTTCGCGCGTATGACTTTAACTGTCGATGCGGACTTTGCTTGTATTTCTTCTCAAGTTTTACTGGCGCTAGAGGTCGCTCGGCTCTACCAGGGCTGTAAACGTCACTCGGCGCTAAAAACCGCTTCCACCCTATACCTACTGGGTTCCTCTGCGTCCTCGGTTCTCCTCCTTGATTCCCACGTAGCTAAGTAAGGTCCTGGAACGTCTCGGAACCCGTTGAATAAAAAAAAAATTGTGACTACGCCCACCGACGCTCAACGTACACTGGGGGTATGTATACCGGACGCGTATCCATGAAACTACGTACCCCGAACCTTCTTCTGTGAGTTGGGCAATTTCGAGAAATCCCATAGAAGCATTTGACGGTTGTTAATACCAAGAAGTCAACTGGAAGGGACTATATGTTTCTGTTTGTCCTTTTTTCTCTCTTCCTTCTACTGGTGTAGATGGTGGATTCATTAAGGATGCGATATGGCGAGCTTTTTCACAGGGAGCAAACGTTCCTGTCTGACGAGGAGGAACCGTTGGGTCGGCTGGTCGGTTCGGTTAGTTGGGTGATTCGTTGGTTGGTCGGTCGCTTTTAAAAAAGTTACGAGGAGGTTTATGGGAGTTTAATTGTAGCTCGCGACTGTGGTTAGAAAGTACTAAAGGCCCCTGCAAGCGAGTTCTACGTTACAGCGCTTACTCTTGCTGCCGTTCCTGCTACCCAGGGACTCCGGCTTCTCTTGGTGAAGTACGAAGATACGAAGACAAGAGAGCGCGCACGCACTTTGGCGCTGCTAATTATTGCTTTGTCTTGGAAATTACTCGTCCGTCCGTCGTCGTCTAGTGCTTCTAGGAGGACGATGTTCTCTGCCAAGGTCAAATATTACCTGGACGTAACCTCAACTACTGGCGAAATATCTACCCAAATAGATCGAAGCTAATAATAAAATATTTGGATAATTAATAATAATAATAATATATATATATCGTCGAGACCGACTATATACGTAATATGCTGTCATTAATTCTTTAGAAAAAGTTTGATTTTGAAAAATCCAAACATTATTCTTGAAGATTAATCGTACTTTTTTTATTTCCAATCTAATAAGTCAATGTTATGAAGGAGCATCGAAGAGATCCCTAACGATTGCCGATTTACGTTAACGCCCCTCCCCCTCCCAACCCCCAAAGGCTCTTCTGTCGCTCGGTGTTGTTTTCATACCGAGACTTGGCTAGTCGCTGTCACATAAACTCGGATAGTTTACTGCGTCCCGAGCAAAATAACCGAAGGACTTGCTCTCCGCGACGGAGAAAGGGAGTTAGAGAAAAAATTCGCGAGCTGTAAAGCGAACCGCGTTTACGATCGTCGTTAAGCGGCCTCTGAGCGGCTTGTCTGATTACATTGATGCTGCTTACTGCAAACCGAACCTTCCGTCCCTCGAACTTCTCATGTGAAAATGTACGTCACGAGGTCTCCGAGAGTCGTAAGTCACAAACCGAGTACCTTAAGGATTCAAATCGGTAACCTAACCGTCATTTGCTTTAGGGCTCCTTCACAGTGAGACTTCAAAATGCGACTACTGTGTTATACGAGATAATTGAATAACGGCATAACGGAATAATCTATAGTTTCAGTTTGTTTTATCTTGATTGATAGAGATACAATTCGCTAACGTACGGAGGCTCAGGACTTATTTACTTTACAAACTCGAAATATAAGTGTTGCTAAGTATTCTGACTTCTGGCGATACCGAAGGTTTTATTGTCATTTTTATTTTGATATATCGCAATTAACATTCGCTGTTTAATATTACTGTACTTTTACAAGAGACTTTACGACTCTTGGTCAACATCCACGA